ATCAAATCTCCCATGCAGAAGGGCAAGATAAACACTCCCATATTTCTTTTTAGGAAATAACAATATTCTTCCTGTTGCAGAATTTTTTCACTTGATTTCAGTTTAGCCTCAGGGTGTTTTGAAGCTGAACATAGTACTTCAAGTGCTGATACTTTATTTTTTAACATACTTCCTTAAAACTGCCAGCAGTGCAGTGAGATTCTGCCAAAACTCTGCACCTGTCAAAAATGGAGAATTATGACCTAGGGGAGTAGGAACCACACACTGGGGAAAGGCAGGGAAAACACCAAATGTGTATATAAATGGGATTTTTGGCTTTGTCTTTACTCTTTACATGGGACACTTCTCCAACTCTTCTCTTCCTTACAGTGCACATTTTCTTGCTTGAAGCATTTTCTTTCAAAGTCCAATTTGCATAAACACTGATACTGAGGACATAACAGCCTAAAAATAGAAAACATAAGGTTTGCACATAGAGGGAAAATATTTCATTAGATCAGCTGATAAAGACCAAGTCTGAAAGCAAAAGCACAAAGAGAATCTTAGCTGGTTTGGGCTAGCGAGGAAAAAGCTGCCCCATTCCTCCTTGTCCTTGTTTGAGTTTGGTCAAAGCATTTTCAACCTGAAAGCAATTTTTTACTGTGAATTTAATCCTAACACAATATCCTTCCTGCCATGATGCAAATCAAAATGGTATGTTTTTTTATGCTGACTAGAAGTAATGTATTAATGGAACACAATTGAACTCCCCAGAATCACAGTCAGACTTTATCATACCTAACTCCCAGCAAATATAACATCCCAGTTCTTAGGCATTACAGAGAAGGCACAGTTCTTAACGTGCTTGCTGAAATTTTGCTGCAAAACTGTTTTCAGTGGCTTTTATTTTTCTGATTCTTAATGCCAAATGTCTGTTTTCAGGAAATAGCCTAGTTAAAAATATATTGGTTTGCATCTGGGACAAAGAGAACTGTCACCAAGACCAAGGTTTCCACCCATGATGATCCTGATGTCCTCCCTGTGACATTCCTGGATTCAACAGCACAGAGAGGAGGTAGAAGAAAACACAAAGTCAGGAGCACAGGCTGAAGTCTCACAGGCAACTCAAACCTACACCTAAATTCAAGATGCATGACTTTGTTCTCTCAATGTGGCTGCAGTTAATTATTTAAAAACATGACCCCTTGAAGCAGTAAATAACAGATTTTAGTGTTATGCATATCTCAAAGGCCTACTTTAAGTAATCAGACTTGCACTGAGGGTTACTGTGATTTATTTTTTTTTCACTAATTAGAACAAGCTTTTTTGGCATGAAAAAAAGCAACATGAAAGGCAGGAAGATTTATCTGCATCGGATCATTCAAACAACACTTAACAATTCCACAACATTTTTCAGCTTCAAAGTAGTTAAAAGCTGCTAACTAATCATTCCTTCCAGCAATGCTCCAGACAAGCACATATTTTTGCTGTGTTTTTAGAGATGGAAAAAGGAGACATTGGCATCCCTGGACTGTGCAGGGAACCTGGGCCAGCTCCAGAACACAGTGACTTTTGGGCTGCCAGTTCAGTCTGGCCAGGCCACACCTCTCTCTTGGATGTCAGACAGCAAACACAGAGCCACAAACCCTGACACAAACAGCACACAGTGCAGACAGGGAGTTAGCCCTGACCTTTTAGGTGTTACAGCTTGAAATGATGAACTGTCAGAACAATCCTCCCTTGTCTTGGTCCAAACCCACTCTCGAGCTGTGTGTGTACACAGGTACATCACCGATTCACACAGGACTGTTTGTGCTACGTGAAGAGCTCACACTGAGGAGGTACAAAAGCATAAAAACACCACTCTGGCCCCAAAGCAGGTCCTGGTGCCTCACCATACACAACTGAAACGATTAAAAGATAGAACCATCTTAAATAGTCCTTCAAGACATTCAGCTTGTGCAGCTGATACCCAACACTGCTGGTCTGTCAGCATGAATAAATCATAAACTTGTCCTGACATCAGAAACCACACCTGGCCTGACACTCCAGGTGTAATCTGCAGCCTCCATCCTCCGGGCACTACCTGGCAGAGAACACAGCAGCCATGGAAACAGTCAATTCCCAACACAGCTCAAAGGTCTGTGCTCTGTAGGATATAGTTTGTGACTGATTTAATATCTAATACTTCAGGTTTCCTTACAACCAAGAAAAGAACCCATTTTGCTCAAGGATCACATCCAGGAGTTGATAGTCAGACCAGGATGTAGCAGATTGCAGCTGAGCTCTGCTCTGAACATAGCCAGCACCTTGAAAGCCAAATATTTAGAATTACCAGAATGCCCAACAAAACAAAACCACAAAAAAACCCAAAACAAAACAAAAAAAGAAAACAAACAAAACACAAAAAATCCAAACAAACAAAACCCCAACCAGCAAGTAAGGCATCAGATATCATTTGCAGGTAAAAGTAAAAAGTCTGCAAAATAACTGCAACTGACATTTGGAATGTTCCAATCCCAGATGTATTCAGGGCTTTGGAAAAGTCCTGGAAAACAAAGAGTGCTGGAGAGCAAGGGCAGGATGCAGGCCGAGGAGTCTAGACTGCAGCTTCTGGAAGGTGAGAGTGTCTGTCTTCCCCCAGAGTTACTGGAAAACTTCAGTGAAGAGAAAAAAAAATTTAAAAAATAAGGAGGGGTTGAGTGGTAGGCAGAGCATACATTATCAACACAGAAAACTGGAATACTGCTGGAACACAGGGAGAAATACATGTCATTCATCACAGGGTAACGAATAGTGACCACCATTCCACTAAAAGCTTAGTTTGTGAGTACTTTCCAATGGAGTTCCATGTGCAGTGGAGGACAAAATGTTAGCAGATTGCTGTTCATCCCTACATGGCTGTAACTACTCTTCTCTGAGGTAACAAGTTCAAACTGAAGGAGGGAAAGTTTAGGTTAGATGTGAGAAAAACATTTTTTACTGTAAGGGTGGTGAGACAGTGGCACAGGCTGCCCAGGGAGGCTGTGGCTGCCCCAACCCTGGCAGTGTTCACAGCCAGGTTGGATGAGCCTTGAGCAACCTGCTCTGGTGGGAGGTGTCTCTGCCCAGGGCAGGGGGTTGGGGCTGGATGATCTGTCAGGTCCATTCCAACCCCTAAATTCTATGATATGATTCTCCTGTTTGCATGAAAGGACAAGAACAATTAAGTTACTGTAGCAACATTTTCAATTTGCTAAAAAACAACCAACATTCCTCTACTTTCTGGTACCTTGTCAGTCACAGAGGCTTTTGCCTTAATGCAGTGAGTAACTTGCCTGTACCAAACAGATGACACTGTCAACAGGCAGAATCTAAAAGCTATTAAACCCAAAAGAAACAGGGATAAAATCGTTAGGTTTTAAAGTATTAACTTTATTAATAAATATACATCCATATGATGATGTAAATACAGATCATGAACACTACTCCATTCCCATACACATAATTGCACACGAGTAGCTCAAGTTCATGGACATAAAAACATACACAGTATCTAATCAGGCTTTTTACAGCAGAGGACAGGGTGCTGATACTAGTTATTGAACAGATTACTGTTTCCCCCAAAGTAAACCTGTGGAAAAGCAAATGCTGAAAGATTAAAGTATCAGAAAGTGGTTCAAATTTTAGAATACAGATTTTTCTATTTGGAAAAAAAAAATCCACAAGGAGAAAAGTCTAGTCTCTACTAAAGTCATAAATATATTTAAGCAGTGTTAAAATATATGCATTAAAATAGAGAAGAATAAACTTCTTTTGTGGTCAGAAATGAAGTCTGCAGTTCCAAGTACTTATGATTGTTATCAGCTGTTTTAACTGTCAACTCTAAGTTAGTGAGAAACATTATTATACACATAACAAAGAACGGCAGAGTCACAGCTAATGAAACCATTGGACAAATGACTTCACATTGCTCTGCCTTTTAAAGCTCTTCAAAAGTGGGGGAGGGAGTTAAATTCTGATCTGAATTACACTGTGCATTGTAGCTCCAGGTAATTCTTTTCACAGACACATCACTTTTCACTGACAAGGCTTGGTTTTGTCCTGACTGAACTCGAAGATCCTTCAGACAAAATGAAAATATATTCATTCAGAAGAGAGATCTTTAATGGCTCTAGTTATTTTGATCAGTTCCAACTAAATCCAAGATACAAAGAACATTGCTTTAAAGACAAAGCTAAGTGCTGATTTTAAAAATACTATCTTTGATATCACAGTCAGCCACTTCTGATGGTATCTCATTTTTTTTCTGCCAAAATATGCTGCTAGCATCTTGAGTATGTCCAGTGCAAGACTTTATAGTAGCAAAATTATTTGGTTTAAAAGTTTAAGTAAATTTTAATCCGAAAATGAATAGTAGTTACTATATGTATATTAAACAGTGAACTTGTATAGCATCATTAAGGAATAATAGCAAGCTAATACATTTCATTTATGTATAAATAAGACGTTAGAAACTCGGTAATTAAAAGGAATTATTAAGTTCCAAACTTGACATGTTGATCTGAACAGTGTTAGCACACAGCAGTGATCCTAGCTTATGAATAGCTGAATTATGATATAGGATATAAAATAAGCAATTTACCTTACAAGTAATGTTTTCATACTATGAGGGGAAAAGGCCAGTTTTCCCACTGGTACTAATAAAGTTTAGGCATTAACATGCTGTTTCAGTGTTTCTCATGGAAAGGAAAGTGTTGAAAAAAGTACAATGTATTCTGCAGAGTATACACAGAAAGAGCAGAAGTGTTTGAAAATTCCATTTCTAGTCACTTCGAATCTCTTACCCTCCTTTTCCTTCCCCTCACTGCGTGGCACCAGTGAACTACAGTCAGACAGAAAATAAAGCAGAGTTAGGAAATGCCCAGCAGTGCAGTCCTGGTCTCCTCCCTAAACCCAAGCAGCCCCTTAGGGACTCTCTGAACACTTTTCTACTTGACGCTCATCGTTTCACAACTGACAACATTAATTAGCTTTTACTGGGATTATATTCCATCTGATATCATTAATAAACACTGTAACCGAACAGAAATTGCTTAGGTGATTTCATTATTTCATCAGCATACTTGAATACAAATTATACTAGCAGAACAGCAACACATCTGCATTATCTCCTGACACACAGCACAGCACCAGTGAGTGGATGCACAGGTGAGGAATGGAACTGGAGCAAACAGGATAAACAGGAGAGGTAAAAGGAGTGGAGTTTCCCCAAGGTACAGTGGTGACATGCAACACGTTCCTTGCCAGCGAGGTGTGACACTCCTGCAGTCATACATTCAGCTGAAGAGGACTGCTTGCCCAGCTGAGTCCAGGAAAGAACTGAAAGCAGTCTTTTGTTGAAAAATCATCTGATTAGAAACAGCCAATACAACACAGATCCTGAGGGTGATGAACTCGCGTTAGCATTTCGCACGTGTCAGAAGTGACATCGTTCTCAGAGATTTCAGACTGCTGAGTTTGTTGAGGAACAGAACACAGAACTGGATTTCAGAGCTTCAGCATGAAGAAACTATTCCTTAGTAGCAGTTTAGCTGCCATTAGTTCATCTAGTCACTAAGGAGCCATCCAGTACAGTTGAGGTTCATTGTCTTAGTTGCCAGTGCATACACAGTTCCCCCAAAACCATTCAACACACCTAAAGTACAGCAAAAGTCCAGCTCACTATGTGTTAGGCATCACTGGAACACCTGAAGGCTTGCTGCTTTTTTCCTGATAAAAAAGGTATGAAACATCTGTTTCTTAAGTTGTCACCACTGAAATCAAGAGGTCTCATCAAAATGACAGCAGGCCAGAATAGCATTTATGTTAACAAAAACTATCAGCACAGGCTCAATTAACCCAAATTCTTATACTCCCCCAAAACTGAAAACTCTAAATATTCCCCCTCCCCAGATACTTCAAGCTACAAATTTGTCAGAAAGTCATTTTGTATGTGAAATGACTTAAAAGTAAACTTTCTTCCAGATTAAAAAAAAAAAAAAAATTTCAGTAAACTAAATTTAGAACAAACAATATGCAACATTGAGGCCTGATTTTTTTGAAGTCTAGATGAAAGTATTTTACACACACACACACACACACATGCTCTCTCACACTTAAAAAAAATAAAATCAAACACACCCAGTGGAAAAATGGAATATTTCTTTTGGGAGGAGGGGAGGTTTTAGTTTGAGTCAAGAAAGGTATTTATAGTTAACCAACAGTATTTTTCCCTAGTTTGCATGCATAGATGAATTACTCTGTATCTGGGGTCTAGCAGTGCAGTAAACTGCATCCTGTTTGCATCAGCTAGACAGTTTGCTTTTATAAGTCATGAAAATGGTGTCCTTTGGTAGATATATAAGCTTCCATAACTTAAATATAGTCTAAGTGTCAAACAACGAAATAACTGTATTTCCAGGAAAATCTGGCAAAACTGAGTCTGAATTTTTGACAACAGCATCTATTTAAAAAGTTTAATTTGTAAACATTATAGGTTAATACTTTCAAAGATATTAAACTGTCGCCATCTAAGCACAGATTTTAAAGGCAAAAATCAGCGTAAATAGCTATTTACAGATTTAAGAACGTACTGCTCCATATCAACCAAGTGCCTAACTCGAATGGACAGTACTTAATTTCTTATAAAATATTTCAGATTTTCAAGAATTCTTTGTGGTTTGGTATATGTGCTATGAGGCATTTCGAAATTCCACAGCAGAATCCTGTAACAGCACAGCTAGAACAGCTCTCGCCTAAAGGCAAATGAAGTTGTCTCAGTAAGGCCCTGGGAAGCTGCAACACACTGCACAAATGCTCAGGTTGCTTTAGTATCTTCAAAAAATATTTTTGGAGCATTAGCTGAAATCCACTCAATGCTGCAACTCCAGAAACAAAAGCCACCTGAAGTCAGTCTAGAAAACAAAAGGTTGGGTTTGTTTATTTTAGGTTTTAAGTATCTATTTGAGGTCTGTAGAAGCTCCTGCTAGAAATAGAAAATGTAGCTTGTTGCTTGATCAATTTTTCTTAGCAAGTAAGAATTTACCTGGCTAAGTTCCTTACTGTGGGACAGGCCACAGCATGAACCATCAGCCAGCTAATTGTGTCCTCCTTATTTCAGTTTCTGAATGCATAACTACCCACCTGGAGTTGGCAGAAATCAAACCTAAGACTAGGGACATGGACATTGCTTAACTGTAAACAGCAAGGCATAAAGCATCACTTCACTTTCTCATAAATTATGGTTTAAACCCAACAAAAGCCCCTTTAAACCAAAGCCTTTTCCACATTAAACGCACTGCACCCCGAGGCTCTGGCATTATTGGAATAAAAATAAAAATGAAACTCAGACTGAGGCAAACATGACAACAAAATGCAGGAAAGATGCCCAAATTCAGCGTAAAGCAGATGAGTAAGGAGTTACTAATTCCCTCCTTTCACTCATTAGGCTGTTTGATTTTGCTGGTGGTTTCACCAGCAGCATGTACTCCTCTGTTATGCACCATGGGGTAAGGAAAAGCTGCACTGCCACAAGTATAACTTAGATTTGCAAGCCGTGATAGAGCTTTAATGCTACCTGGAGGTCTGCCTGGGCTGACTTTGTATCCTGCTGCTTTAGTTGTACCCAAGGGTCTGCCTGGACTTGTCTTAAATCCAGCTGCTTTGGTGGTCCCCAGGGGTCGGCCCGTGCTGGTCCGGTACCCTGCAGATTTGGTGGTCCCTGACGGCCTGCCGCGCTTGCCGGAGCGGTTGAGGTTTTTCTTTTTCTTTAGTTCATCTTTTGTCTCTATATTTCTGCCACTCGTGGTCTGCAAGTGCGAGTCGTTGAGGGCGTCCTGCCTCTGGCAGGCGATGGGTTTGTGGCTGACTGCGTGGCTGTACTTGCTCTGCTGTGTGGCATACAGGTCAAACTGATCCGCAGCTCTCACGTTGTCTTCGCTAAGGCAAGAGCTCTTGCCGCTCCCACAGAAAGCTGCATTGCTGCTGGCAACAGGGTGCATCATTTTCTAACAGAAACAAGAGAGGAAAATATGTATCAATATGTAATAATACCACAGCGTCCCACACGTGAGAATGTTGTGAAAGTTACCTCTTAAAATTAGCCTGAACCACTTTGTCTACTCTTAGTGCACAGTACTGATGTCGGTAAATTACTTTTAAAAGACTTTTATTAAGCTTTTGCTTGAGGTTTTGCACAGTAACCTTCACAGGCAGTTGAAAAGGACAGTTTAAACCATGTATTATTCACATCGGTGTAATTAGGGAGAAGTAAATTAAAGAGCTGGACAGGAGCATTTCAGAAACTGAGATACACAATATTCGCTCACCCACTGCAATTTCAAAACTTTTCAAAGCAGATCACATCGAAATTTTAGTTGTTCTAGTTCTAAGATGAACCTATGGGCTGTGAGTCAGGGAAAGATACAGCATTACACTCTTGGTTTAGTAGATAGAGGGTCCTAAAGATTCTTTTTAACTGCAGCAAAATAATAAAGTGCTAAACAACTTTGTCGTTTCTTGTCACAATTAATATGAAAGAAAGAAACATTCAGCAAGACACTGGTGCCTTGGCTGTGAAAGCAGAGGGTGAAATGAAGCTCTAACAAAGAACAAGATGTGAGGCTGCAGATATGCTGCCCTAGCTGGAAGAGCAGGTACAAACTGCTGCTAATGCCAACACTGAGGGAACAACTCTGGCAAATAAACCCCTGATATATTCACCCATTCAACTATACTGGACCTACACCTTAAAACAACCTGCAAATACTCAGTTTAAGCTAATAATATTTAGCCATGCAGAGGACAAGATGAAGCTGATCAATGTGTGGCACATCAGAGTATTTCTGTGCCCTACAGTCATGCTTAGCGACCAAATATTTCTTCCTGTGGTAAATTTCTCTACTAGATAAGGTGTGGAAGATTTATTACATTTTCCCTGCAATTGCTCTAGAATATCACCTAGAGCAACACGATTTAAATTCTACCATTGATTACTGAATTTCTTTGGCAGTTATGAATGTTTCCTCCCAGCCTGAGAAAGCACAGAGCAGAGAGAGTCTGTTTACCCAGGAGTAAATCCCCGTGCTCTTTTCTCCTGATTACAATGGATACATTCCCTACTGGAACACCCAACCTACCCTGGCTTATCAAACTCACATTACAGGGTATGCATTACTCTTGTGCAAATATATGAATATGGGTTTCTGTCAAAGAGGGAAATTGGGATCGTAATACAGTTTAAATATTAGATGTTCTCGTGGAGATAATCCAAGTGCTG